CCTATCTAAAATGTACAAAATATTATAGGTCTATATTTGTGGTTTATCAATACATTAATATTTTTTAGAACTGTGTATACAGGGTGACTCAAAAAAATTAAAGAATGAAGCAATTTATTTTATTGATGAAATTAAAAACTTATCTCATTTTTCGAAAAATTTGGGAATATACTTAGTATCGCTATTATTAGTGTTACACTGTATCCATCCAAACTGATATATGTATATGGTTTCGCTAAAAAGAAATAAAATTTTATAATTTTCGTACAAAATTGGATTTGTGTGGTTCTACCTCAGAGGCAAAGGAAGCTTTGGTGAAACAATCTTAGACCAATTTTTTACAACTATCATGGTGATGAACTGATAAAAATACCAGTTGATATTTAATATATCAGTATAGTTTTGATAACACAAAATGCTGATTCAAATAAGTATATAGAAAAATCAAGAAGCATTGTTTTTTGTTGCTGGTGATATAGACGCTTCTTAGAAAACTAGTTGCCTTGCGTCCATTTTGACCGCTACCCAAACCAAAAGTAATAGAAAATGTTCTATGTATATGTTACAGCTAATATCCGAAATACGTTATTATGCATAATAACTAGATATTTTAGGAATTATGCGTAATAACTAAACTTGTCAGTTATTATGCATAATAACCGGAAATATTAGGAATTATGCGTAATAACTGAATTTTTCAGTTATTATGCACAATAACGGAAACGTTTAGATAATATTGATAATAACTAACAGAGGAACAGGAATTATGCATAACACTTGAAACATTAGTCATTAAGCATATTGCCTATTAGGTCAGGGCCGATAATTTTTGAGAACAAAAAAATTTAGAACAGGATGATACCCATTGGAAAAGGAAGAAAATATAACAAAAATACAGGGAAAAATAATTTACGGGCGATCTGAGGTCCGGAAGGGGAAGAGGGTGAGCTTTTAAGGGTAGAAAACGGTTTATCACGATTTCCGGCAAAACTACAAGTCATATCGCAAAAAGTTAAATAGCAAAGTTGTAGGTAATAAAAAGATCTACAACTTTTGTATTTACATTTTCTTTACATAACCTCCAAATTTATGCGAAAAATGCAATTAACCGAGTTTTTGGTTTTTTATTTTTATCTCCCAGAAAAAAAAAATTTAACGAAATTTAGTGAAAACTTACCTATTTATGTTCCAAACTCACTGTAATTTTTTTGATTCAAAAGATTTATTTTTCCCCCTTATTTTGAATTAATATCGAAAAACCACCCTAATTTTCAATCGAAAATTCTCACATCAAAATGTTTGCTTTTTAAAAAAAATCGGTGTTCTTTTTGTTCATTGAAATCTCTACTTTCCAATGGTGTAAAAAAAAGTATACATTACTATGGCAAATTTTCACAGGAAATCCAAAAAAACGAAAAATTCGAATTCGAAATTTTTTTTAATCATGTAAAATTTTGAGCTATTTATTAAAATTTACACTTTAATTACTCGAAAAAAGTAAGATTCCATGTTACACTGATAAACTCAAAAATTTAAAATCCATGAAACAAACGCCTTCTGTTGGTGGGTGGTCACCATAACCACCACCACACAACTTGAGAAGCAGTACAAAGTAGTAGAGTTAAATAATTCATTATCGTATGATATGTATCTCCAAGACTATTAGACTACGTATTGCAAGCAATGCGCACTCTTATACAATACCTCGCTGCGCACTCTTGTACATTTGTACATAACCTAATGTTTTCAAAGTTAAAAGCTTTTGATGGATAGAAAGTATAAAACTGTTAGTGTATAACGAGACCTTAAAAGTTACAGGTAATGAAAATTATTACTGTAAAATAAAAGAACTGGTACGTACCTTACAAAAAACTAAGACTATGAGCGGTAAAAATTACATCCACACAACGTGTGAACATCAAATCGTCAGTACGACCAAACGATAAACTATATTCAGGTCACTTTTGCACCTTTATCTCAGGTTTAGCATTAAATTCTGAATGGTATAACTTCATCTTACCCAGATGGCACTAATAAGCAGAAATCATCAGTGCGTACTCTTATACATATGCGCACTCTTGTACACATTTACCCTAATAACTGAAAATTTCAGTTATTACGCATAATTCCTAATGTTTCCGGTTATTATGCATAATAACTGATAAGTTTAGTTATTACGCATAATTCCTAAAATGTCTAGTTATTATGCATAATAACGGATTTCGGATATTAGCTGTAACATATATAACTACAGAGCTTGAAATTGTCTTCAAAATCTCAAGCAAAATTGCATATTGGCTTTTCTAAGCTTACTAAATCAGTATTTATGATATACCCGATTTAGTAAATTCCTGTGAAAATATACATAGTTGCTGTCCCACATAGGGGTGCTTTGTCTGATAAAAATGCTTTTATCAAATGTCCAAAATGCTAATACATAATTATTAATTTAATTGCCCAATAAAATTTCTTAACCATTATAAATTTACCTACTTCAGATTTGTATGACTAGTGGGGTATAGTTCTGACATTACTAGTTTGATAAAGTTTTTACGTGTCTTCATAGCACTGTATCCTCTACTGAATTTTGTCAAGGAAATAATAATTATTTAACGGTTTCAAAAAAGATTTTATTAGACCATTGACATACAAGATGATAATAACGTAGGTTATCAAAAAAGAGTGACAATGAGAATTTTATTACAGTTTTGTTTATAGTTTTTCTAAATTTCATAGAAATCGGTACAAAAACTCCAAATAAAATGTTATTTATCACAAAACTGTTTTTAAAAGTTTTTCGCCAGATCTTGACACGTTTTAATTAGTACACTAGAGTTACTATATGTGCTGCAAAATGTGTCACTGATGTGCTAAAGTTAAACGACTGAAAACTATTAACTTCTTCAATAAAAAAAAAAAGTTGGACATCTAGGATGACAAATTCGTATCGTCGATTACGAATGCGTAAACTACACCAATAAATTTGCTTGAAATTATGGCAGATATAAATAATCCTAATAACGTAAAGAAAACAATAAATAATGAAAATGAGGGTGGTTTCGTGACTGGATCTACTAGCGTGTTCGCATTACACATCTTTACATATACGCTATAATTTTTAATCAACAATCATAATTCGTTATAAATTTATTATTAAACCAATTTTGCTTATATTGAATTATGAAAATAATTTGGTTGTTGGGTCGTCGACAGACGGTCGCGTTTCTAGAAAAAACTCAACGCGAATATAAAAGGATTTCCGCCTGTCATGACATATAGATTTTCTATAATGCATTTGTTACATGAATCTAATCAATTTCTCATTCGTTTTATTTTATAAGTGAATTATGACTTTTTATAGAGAATCCTTCGACAATAGCTGAGACTGAAAAATGTTGTGAATGTAGATTTTTCATGCGTGATGGCTGATAGAATGTATTTAATTGGACATTTTTATGGTCCGTTGAAAGTCGGGTATTTTTTTAGAAATGTGACTGATTTAGATCTAATAGAACTGACTTTTATTAGTTGAATTAGTCAGAAAGATTTTATTCGGTAGATGGTAATTATATAATATAATATATATTTCTACCGTGACAGTGGAATATGTTAGTATTAATGTAGTAAAGTCGTATTTTTTAAGTTTACAAAAACGCGACTAAAATTTCATACATACCTATAGATTGAAGTTACACTCTTCGTTTGATTGGTTTATAAAATAAATCAATTTGCAAATTTTATGTTTTCAATGGGTTGTTTACGTTCAACCACTGTATTTCATAAAAGTGTTATAAGGTGGAAGATTGGACACGGCGTATGAGATCTTGCGTTGGCCAGTTCTGTGTTCATGTTCATGTCAGAACTTGTTGATTTTTAATCATACGTCTCCGTGTGCCATGTTATCGTGTTGTAGTACATTTCTCTATTTTCTCTGAAGTGTGTTTTGTCGTTTTTGCGCTTACTGTAACTATGTTTTCATATGACCTATTCTTCTCTAAACTAATCAAATGTCTGACGGCTTATTCGTATTTTGCTCTTGTTGTAAATTTTTATTTGGTCATAATGTTATGAATAAAGCTTCATGTAAAGAATTTAGCAACTCACGTCACTGCAAGTAAAGTTCAACATTCCAGATTTTCAGAAAAAAAAAAACGGAATATGTGAGTTTTATTTTTTCCGATAATAATCCCTATAAGTTGAATTAAAGGTATGCTTGTGTTAAAGCAGAGGTAAAAAAGCATGCTATGCGTGTGTTTCAATTGAATTTTTCCAATACGACATTTTGTGATGACGTCATCAACATTTTATGAAGGGCGAGGTAAGAATTTGGTAAATTTTCTGGTAAGTGTAATTTCTTATTTTATACCTTGGATTCTAATGTGCTGTGTTTAAATAAATAATCTTGTACCATGTTAATATGAAATAATATGATTCAGCGACACAAGCAGATGTGATCTACATTTGACGTTACGAATTTTTTTTGCGGCAGGTGCATACTTCATGCAGTCTTAATTATATTATAACGTCATTTTTTAACTCTCACTATTGGTTTATCACGCTATTAAGATGTGTGAGATAATAAAAAAAAAAATACTTCGCAAAATGTTATTAATAAAGTGTAAAATTTTATTCCATTCGGATACCGAGTTTAGTTAAAAGGTGAGTCTTAACACTTTGGATTTTTTCTTATTTTACGCGCAGGATTATATGTACTTGTATTTGCAATAATTAAATCTAAAAAATCTACAGTATCCAATTTTGGTTACACCGGTAAATTATTCGATTTTGTGTTTAATTTTATATGCAACAACTTAAGTATGTTACGTGTTCTAATTTAGTAGTTCTTTCCGTGAAGAAAATTTTGTCAATATTAAAATAACAAGCCATGGCTACAGATTTTTAAACATTAAGAGTTCCGTAGTGTCTCAGAAATATGAACTACTTCTTCGGTAAATACAATAGTTTGATAAAATAAAATAACGTCAAAACTAAATACTTACTTGAACTCTCACTTCCGGAAGATTTACTTTCATGGCGAGTTCTTCTCTACTGTAGACATCAGGATAATGGCTTTTTTCAAACGCACGTTCTAGTTCATGTAGTTGATATGTCGTAAATGTGGTTCGATTTCGTCGATGCTTTTTCTTGCATCCGTCTCCCTCTGATATACCGGAATTATTGACTGTTCCTTCATCTTCGGAACCGCTTCCTACGGGGCCCGATATTTTCCCGTATCGAAGTTCTGAGACACCGTCATTTGAGTTGCAACTTCCTTCGCCTGAAATTTATTGACAAAATTTATTCTTTCCTGGATAAGTGTTCGAGATACTTAATTTTAAGCATTGAAAATTTATTTCGTATGATTTTTTTCTGCAAATGGTCGCAATGTGACCATTTTTAGTCTCGAACAAAATTGACAATTATTGTCAGTTAAATATTTAAAAGTAAATGCATCTTCATGAACAGTGTTTACACCCAACACAACTAAAATTTTTCATCATAGATAGTTACGTGTATTATAAATAAGGCAATAAAAATATATGTCTGTATGACAGCGCAATGTTTCTGTTTTATATTATATCATCATACTTTGACTTCTATATCGATCACACGGTAATTCATGTATAATTAAGTAGAATCACACCTGTCCCAGGGCGGTAATCAAGCCGACAATGTTCCTAACTAATAGAATACAATACAAACACGCGATACACATTATATATCATAACCTAATGTGCAATGTCCGCACTATCGCCTCAACTATCGCTTTCAAACGCTCCCTCAATTATTTATCAATGCAGAAACACATTAATTACCTTCTTATCAGACATAATCTCGACACGTTTTCAAACAACACCAGTCTATTAAAAGTCCCAAATTATTATTATTCTAATCATTTATTCATTGCAGTATCCTGTATCGATTAGAAAATTAACAATGTGTCCAAATGGCCAATTTGATACGGTTGATTAATAGATATAAATACTTTTGTCAGACAATCACACTTAGAAAATACGGATAATTTGAATCAGAAAATGTTTTTTAGAATAAAATGATAATTAAATATGACACGAATCACCAGATGGAATACAAAGCCTCATATCCATTATTCTCTGCCTTTGCATTCCTTGCCATATTTTGAAGTATTATTTGTTAAAAAAAACAAAATTTCCAATATGTTTTAAAAAATTCATCTTACATTTTTAGTTTATACAAGAGCTATTGAAAATGTTGAGGAATTACGGAATCGTATTATTGCATCTTGTCGCATGTGAAATAATTCGAAACACGACCGATGTTTTTGAATGCGTGCTTAAGTTATAATACACTGGAGAACAGAAGCATGTGTTAGGGTTGACGGTGCTCATTTTAAATAATTATTATAAGTTTATTATATTTCAAACTGTTACTTTTGTGAAACGTTTTGAAACTATTATTAAACACCGTAACTTGAAAACTGTATTTTTGTACATGTGTTAAGTTTTTCGCATATATTAAAAATCACCTTGTATAACTTTCAGTAAAATTAATGTCTTCATTTTTTTTTTAAATCAATAGCTTCATCTCAAAGCATTAAAAAAATACAATATAGATTTTGTGATAAACAAATGCGAAATTTTGGAATAACGTTACTCTCTACACTCAGTTTAGCAAACATATTCTAAATTTTACAATAAAAATGTAAAATTATTTATATAGAACTTGCTTTCCCTATGACTGCACTACAAATACTACCTGCACGCGAGGCCATATTTTTAAATAAGGATTTATTTCATGTTTTCAGGACTAATAGGCGCTTAAAAAATTCAAAACGCAACCAGAAATACAATTTCAACATCATATTTGATATTTCATACTATTTTTTAAAAAAGTATTAACATAGTTATCACTTTTCCTCTAACAATATTGAAGAAATGTTAGATACTAAGATGTTAAAATTGATATTTCATTTTAATGGAAAGACTGACGTGATTTTGATACATGGTGAGTGCAATGAGGAAATGGAATAGTTACTGGATTGATTTTTAGATAAATTAGATTACAGAGTATGATTTCAATTTGTTTGTTTTTGTTTTTAAACTAAAAAAACATTTAATTTCAAATTTTTAAAAACAAACAAATAATAAAAAAATAAAACAATTAGTGATAAATATCAAAGATTTATGAAATTGTATTGTTTGTTGGGTTACTGGTGCAATATTAATCATATTGTTTACATTTGTCACGCTTGGAACCGTCCGTCGTCTTGGTCAAATTAGTACTTATGATTAAAACTCAACGTTGTTTCGCCTGTTTTTATTAATTGCCATAATTTGTGTGTCAAATGTCTGGTCTTATTCACAAAAATAAAAATAAATTCTTATTAACTTTAGCATTTTGAATATCGTTACAATTTTTGGAATAACTTTCTTTGGATCCACATTGTCATTTTCCACGTAGGTTCTTTTTTATAGTTCTTACATGCATCGTAAGTCTTATTTTCAGATACTTTTTCTTTACATGTCTTTTATAAGACTGTATTTTCACGTTTGCTCCAGCTCGTAAATTCTTATAAAATTTTTGATTCCATGTTCCCTTCTTTTTCGTTGTTATTTGACTGATGGCAGACTTGTGCTGTTAATTATAAAATGGAGTGAACTATTACAAAAAACATGACTTTCCATTTTTTGCCCTTACGCCATTTCTTCGGGCCATTTGATCTATAATTATGTCAACAAGATATTGCTCTTACAGTGTAAGATTGTTTCCGTTTTTTGTTCCAGTGTCATTAAGTCTGTTGAATGTTGTGTATTTTGAAGAAGAACATTTTTGCTTGCTTCAGCTTGATGTTAAAGTGCAAACATTTTCTTTACTTCTGTATATAGAGTTAGATAGAAATAGAACCTTTTCTTGACTATTTTGGGCCCTCTTTTCCTAGATCTGTCTACAGTTTCTACAATTGTGTTGTTTAGTTCTACTAAATTCATTGGAAGTTCTATATTTGTTAAAAAATAGCTCTTTGTCACATCTTTCTCCTTCTTGGTGTAAAGTTGTAATATTTTTAGGGCGATATATTCACCAAGTGATTTTCATGTTGATCTTGTGTCATTTTGAAACACGTTGTATAATATAGTCGTGAAAATACCCCTAGTCAAAAACACTTAGAATGTGACATTTTTTAGTATTATTATTATTATGGCAGTATGTGTACGAAGTCATCTACATTCAACATAAAAAAAATCGTGAATTTAGGAGAACTTTCGGTAAATGTGCCACTCTTAATTACTTCCTGATTACTGTATTTGCTTTACCTTACCATAATATAAAAATTACAATCATAAATCACTACATCTAGGGACTACAAAAAATATTACTAAGTGAATTAATTTAAATAATACGCTATTAATTATACTCCACAATATGTCATTTTAATTTCAGCCCACTCCGAGATTAAACAAATCTAATGTGACTTTTATTATACACTAAATTTATTAGTATTTTGCATGATTATAAAAACGCACTTTACGAATTACATTATAAGCACAACACACGCTGATTAATCGCACTTGACGTATATGCAAATTGGAAAAATTAAAACTGCACATACACGAGATTTTATTAAGCGGCAGTCTAGAAACGTTCCCGCTAATTGCATGTAAAAGCCACATAATGTGAAAGAAAGAAATGGAAAATACGCCGATGGGAATGACGATAAAATTCGAATAATTAGGAACGGAAATTTCAGCCCGTAGTTTTTTGTAACAACGATGGCGAAATTAAAAATAATCAAAGCGAATGTGGTGTGTATTTTTTAGAGCGCACTGAAATTAATTTTATTATTGCGTCCAGAGAGGTACGGTAACAAATCAATTTTAATTATGAGCATAAAACGATCATACAAGCCTTTTTACAAAGTTTTTAATAAAAACAACATTATCAAATATTTTATACGCTCACGATTTTTAACCTTTAGCAGACGCTTTGTTTACGCTTTGAACCCCAATAAGTAATTATGAGATATACAATAATATAGTCTTTTACTTAGTCATTTTAACCGTCGTATGATGTAAACTATCAATGGAAAAACTATTTTTCTTTATTATCAGTGTATATAAAAAATAATTTCTGAAAAATTATTAAATATTTTTTATTATGCGATATGTTTTGAAATGCGGTTTCTAACTTTGTTTATTTTTAAATTATGTGCCCTGATTGTTTAAAAAAATTGTATGAACCCAAGTCTTTTATTGATTATTATCTGTGAGAGAGCTTATCTAAATTCTACGAAATTACGGGAACATAACAACGTTATGATTGGTGTCGCATGTCGGTGTAGAAATTAACTTCCGAAAAGTTGATAACATCATAATAAAAAATGGTTAAATAATATACGCCTTTATTAAAATTTTTTGTAGCTGTTTCAAGCACAAAAGAACATCAAAGACGGCAGACCATCAAATATAATACGTTTAAAACCTGAATTATTTACCAAATATTGTTTTCATATTTGTTAGTAACAAAATAGTGTCTGCATCACTTTATGCTTCTGTTTTGTTGTGACATAGAGGACAAATGTTTATGGCTGAATTAGCGTTTTTTAATAGAATTAATCTCAATTAAATTGATGATCTTTTCTTTTGAAGGTTAATGGAAAGTAAGAATAAGTGGACGACATATAAACGAGCTTTGGTCATAAATGCAAGTTTCATGTTTATTGCTGCATGTGTGTTGCTGTATGTATGTCGTGTTCTGTATATTAATGTGACATTTATCAGTTTAAAATCATCTCAATAGTCAGATTACTTGAAATCCGTAAAGCATAACATACGTTCAACAAATGAATACTAGCTAATTAAAAACCTGAAGCTTATCGAACATTTTTAAAGACGTTAACATTAGCCGTTTATAGAATATATCTATAGTCTCCAAAATACTACAAGGTTATATGGCCCCACTAAACTTAATAATGGGATGTTATAATTCCTTTCGTGCGGCTGATTAACGACTGAAGCCTAGCGTCATAAATCAAGGATTTGTCTTGCCACCTCAATATCTACTGCTGGGTAATCCGCTTAAACAGTCGCGAATATTTACAACTGTGGGTTTGCCTTATTAACTGCTTCATAGTCGTCTTCACAATACCTTAATTTTACAACAGCCATAACACCTTGCAGTATTTCGGAGACTATACTACTAATTCCCAACGGGGAAAGACAACTAAAAATTCAGCACCAACTAAAGGGCGTGGTCGGCGAAATTAATGTACAAATGTTTCGTTTTTTCTGAAGATTCGAGGAT